AGTGTTTTTTCCTTGTGAAATCATGCTATTTGAAGTGTAAATGCCATTTTATCTGCTAATTTATTTTGGGGTTTTTTTGGTAAAATGAGATATAACTCTTTGAATTACTCATTTTGTAACAAGGACAAACCCAGTATCTATCAACAGTGGATTCGTTTAGGAAATAATGGCTCCATCTACTGTAAAGTATGGCACTATATCTGCATTTGCTGAATGGTGGATTCATGTGGGTTTTTTTGTCTGGCTTTTGTCAGTGTTCCCTTTTTCTATATGAAACTTTCAATGAATGATATTTGCTATTTTGGTGCTCTGATATCACTACATGATTTCCTGTTCGTGTTATTTTTATAAATATTTTCTATTTAGTGACTAAATAGAAACATACTGTGTTTTATTATAATCTCTAAAAGTAATGGAACCAGTTCATGATTTTACTTGTGATTTTTTACTTTTATTTTGTTTTTAATGTTTCGTGTCTTGAATTGTCGTGCACATTTATTTCAGTTACATAACAAAAATAGATCTTCAATCAGTATAGTAACCTGTGATAACTAGAAGTCAGTGTTTAGAATGCTAAAAGAAGTCTAAAGAACAACTGGCATCTAAAATGAGCTGTATGCTTCACTACTCCTATATAAATTTGTTAACAGAAGTTTGAAACACATTCTGGGATAGAAATTAAGTCCCTTAAGCTCAAGCTTGGTATGTTACTAACATATTCTATTAACATTTAACAGGCACAAAATACAAAGAATTTGTTTACAGAACAAACATGACAAAAACATTAGTAAATAGTGGGAAGTTCTTTGATTAAAGAAGTTAGAGGCATCATGGTTTTATTGCGAATCATGCAGCACCTTTGTGCAAAATTAATGAGCTGTGGGGAGAATTTTAAAATACAGTCCTTGATGGTGTTATGGATGAATCTTAATGAGTCTTAATAAAATCCTCTGTCAAAGCTGGTGTCCTAAAAGCTAGCACTGAATAACATTTATTTTTTTTTTCTCTTCACATCTAAGAAGAAATACCAAATTTAGAAACACCTCTGCCTCGAATGCAGTAGAAAAAGTAATTGCAACAGAAGTTTTTTTCAAAGTAATATTGAATTAGTGTTTGGTTATGCTTACTCTTGCATAACTAAAGAAAATGGCTCTCTTAAAATATATTGTTGATTAAAACAAAACATATTAAAAAATATATTGCTGGGAGGTTCCTTTCTAGTAAATTGGGTCAGATCAAGTGTTTGAATTACAACAAAAATCTGGACAGTGCAAGGGCAATGGTCTTCAGTGCACAGTGTTGACAGAGGAGCTGTTCTTTGTTCGTGTTTATTGTGGCCAGGGATCTTGGTCAGTGGCTTGTCTGAAGTCTGATGTTTTGTAGATCAGCTGATTTGTGCAAGTTATTATCAGGAATCCATAGACAGCAGTGGAAGGGTAGTAGAGTACTCACAAAAGTGTGGTTTTATCCCCAGCAGCCTTATTCTCTTCAAACAAGTAAGAAAGAGGTGGCTTTGCATTAACATAGTCCAGGGGGTTATATCTAGTGATATGTGCCTGTGAAGATTCTTTAAATGGTACCTTCTTCTGAAAATTTGAACCTTTTGAAGACATTCACTGAAGTGTTGGGAACATCTACAGTATTATATTCTGTTAACCTTGGGAAAATTGCAGAGAGCCATTGTCCAGCAGGCAGGCAATACCAGGTGTGCCTCTCTAGCACCAACCGTTCTTTTTCATCCTCTCATCTGGACATTAGCTTAGGTTCTATTACTCACACAACTCCAACAGTCTGATGAAATTGAGACTGTGTTCCCATTGTTTTGTCTGTTATCTGGAATTATTTTAGAACAATTCAGATCATCATTAAATAAAAATACAGTTGTCAGCTGTACTATTCTTTATTTTATTATGCATACTGACTATTATTTAAATAAAAAAATATTACAGTTTATATATAATGAAGAGAGAGGTTTCTAAAGTTTCTGAGAGTTAATAACTATAACACTGTTTGGTTCTAGCTTCTATTTCTTTTTATCAGGAAAAATGCCAGTAGTTAGTAGTAAATCTTTTTGGAAAATGCTATATTTCTCTCTAAATTTCCTATCACATTCACTTTATCTGTAGTGTCATGTTAATTTAAGTTGCAGCATATGTGGGCCAACAAAAACTGACACAAAGGAAAGCAGCATAATACAGTTTAATGATATGTGACACATTCAGATTGAGAAGGAAACTCACTTTGGAATTACAAACTCAGTAGTACTTACTGTGTTTGCCGTTAACATACTCTCCTCCATACATACACTCTCCCCTACGCAATCAAGGTATGGTTTACTTATGCCAGAGAATACTAGCTTGTTCTGAAAAAAATAGTAGAATCATTAAGTATTTTTTAAGATGTTGATTCACAATTCAATCCTGACTTTTCTCTCCTGATTCCCAAGGTGTTTTTATGCAGAAACAACAAATTAGTCATATTTTTTTCCCTTAGATATTTAGTTAATAGAGTAATATTTAATTATATCCATATTTGTGATAGGTCAGGTTCTGTACTCTTATTCATGTAAACTGTATGGATAATTTAAAAGTATAAGTCAATAAAAATATAAGTAAATTTTAAAAAGTGTAAGTAAATAAAAGTATAAGTCAATTATCAAGTCTATAAAATAACCAAGATAACCTAATGGTGCTCTTTAACACGCTATGAGTTTTGAACACATATTTCACAATAGGCTTCAGAATGAGTGGTGTGCACTGAAAGCAAAATATATCCTAGACATGGTGGAATGCATTTCAGACTAGAAATAAAACTTTCCAAAGTATTGTATTTGCTTAAGGGTTGAACTAGTTGGGAAATGTTTTTCTCATTCTGGCAAGGTTTGAGGCTTTTGTCGCATTCTGCTCTGGGAGTTTGTTTTTTTTTCTTTACATTCCTGAAGAGAGGTTCCCTGAATACCTACTGAAGTTGTTTAGCATAAAGGAAATGCAGACCAGTAGCCCTTGAGCTGAATCAAGCAGGGACAGGGACTCCCACACCAGCTCCCACGCTGCCTGGGGTTCTGGCACAAGTGTGCCACACAGTGAACTGGATTTGAGTACAAATATGGGTAATAACTATAATTTTGCTGTGTTCATTTTAACTTGTCTGTTCTCTGCTTGTATTCATTGCATGGCTGACAAACCCTTTTTTTCTGGCACAGAAGCAAGGATGGTATGGGGTCAGGCAGAAAAGGTGAAAAGTGAGAGAGAAAGAAACCAGATTCATTTTTCATAGCAGCACAGGTAAATAAAGTGAGCGTGAAGTGCTTGCAGAGGAAGAAATTGTTATTTAAAGAAAAGGAATCTTAGCTCGTTATTCATGCAGCCAAGTCTGAAAAACATACCAGAAATCTAAGTTAGTGTATTACATTAGAATTAAAATGCAGATAGAACTATGAAGTAGGAAATAAAGTTTCATAATATATTGTCTATACAAGGTGGTAAACAGCAGGAGAGTTAGTATTATTGATTGGTGAAGAGTTTTTCCTTAAGAAATAAAAGCACTGCACTGTTTGTTGTATTCTTGCTGTTGAATAGATTTATTTTAAAGTAAAATATAAGCAGTCCTAAATTGAAAATTTCTGCACTCATAGGAAAAGTCTGACAGAAGGATAAAGAATGGATGCAACTGAAGCTAAACCCACAGCTTTATTGTTAGGAATGCCTAGTAAAATTCAAGATCAAAGCAACATAATATTTTAATAATATAAAGTATTCTTAAGATATGAGCAAAACAGTTTTCTCAGAACTTGAGGATAGGTTTCCATTTTGGTGTTTTGCTTTCTACTTGAGCTTAGAAGTTTCACTGAATTTGTGGGGTGTACATGCAGAATTGGCTTTGGAAAATATGCCCAAGTGCTTAAATATTGAAGTGTTAACTGCCTTATAAATGAAATTGCTTATGTTTATTCACTGCTGAGTGATGGAACAGAGAAAGATGGCTCTTCTTGTACTCATGAGACACTTAATTCTGTAACCATAAGGTTTTAATAGATCACTGATTTCAATTTGTTAAGTGTTAACTGTCCAAGTATTTGAATAGCTCCTATTTTTGGTTGAGTTTAGTGTAGTCAATATATATACATTTTTTATTAGTGCAGGTGCTCACAGAACTTTATAATTTTCCTTATCAATAAAAAATATTTAATGTAAAGGAAGATTCTGCCCTTTTCATCATGATGACAGTGGACTGACTACTGCTTGAATTGAAGTAGCACCTGAGAAGCTGCCATGCAGTCATTTCACAGACTGAACTAAAGAAATAAAATTGATCATGTTACCATGGTACAAGGTCTGGGTATTATGAGGCTAAGTAGCTGAGATATTAATGTCTCAATTCAACAGAATGTAATTGTTGAGTTGTGATTGTTGTCTTTTCTCCCCTGTTCCTCCCCCCCGCCCCCCAAAAAAACCCTCACATGAAACATTTTGCCTTGTAAACAAGGATCAAAAGAGTATTAAGACAAATTGACTTCATTAATGAATTATAGCAATAAAATTTTCTTTCGTTTCAAAACCATCAGGAAGGCTTTTTCTGTATGTGATGTGTCTTGATTTCAGAATAGACTGTTTTAAATTCTTTTAATATATTACATGGAAATGCCTACCTAAATGTCACATATACTTAATCACATATTGCCTAAAGACAAGGATACAAAATTTTGATTCTTCTTATTTTAAGAATTTTCATTTTGAGAGCTGTAGTCTTTATTCTTAAAAAATATTTTAATATTGTATATCAGTTTGTTTTTCACTTTAGTGCATATGAAAAGGTCACTATCTAACACTGACTTAGAAAACTTTGTGAAATACAATGTTATTTACATGCAACAACTTTTGTGATATTGTATACCTCAATAACCACTTTTCCCATCATTCCTTGTGTTTAGACCATTGTGATTCTGCTGATGTAGCTGATGTTTTTCTTCATTATTCCTCTGCCTTTGTCCTTTCCTACAGGCTTACCCTGAGTTTGTCCTGACCTACCTAGAGGAACTAAATGAAAGAGAGGAGGTGACCCAAACAGAAAACCGCATTCACCATGGGGCCTGGACAGCAGCTCATCAGAAGATAGACAGCAGCTCAGCAGAAGAGGTCACAGTATTAAGCCAGAGGCAGGTCAGAGACAGTCCTTTCAGAAACACATTTTGAAAAGAGAAATATCAATGTGGAAGTCAACTTATTTCCTTAAATAAATAACCTCATATGATGTCTGAATTTAATAAGATATATATTAGACAAATAATAGTTATATACAGGATTTTAATTATTTAATATTTATTCATATTTGTGTCTCAGAACAGTTGACATTTTTAGCCCATGTAGAAGAAATTTTTGAAATTCCTTATTTCCTATGTGGAAAAACTCAAGGAAGGAAGAGAAACAAGCAAAAACTCACTAGATGTCTAGATTTGTGCTTCTTGATGCAGCTTGACATAGCTATTTGTATTTCTGACATTTTCTGCTAATCAACAGCCTTATTTGAAAAAGTTGACACACATTATTTTAATTAGCAATATATAAATTACATGGTTGTACTTCTGTCTCTTAGGTTCTGCAAAAAAATGTCAGCAACCCCAATCAGAAACAACTTTCAGGACCTTTGGACGCCCATTTAATGCCTGCAGATCCCCTAGGGGAGACTACACAGCTGACAGTGGCACTCGTGAGGAAACTAGAAGAGAAACATCCTAAGGCCTCAGCTCAAAGGTAAGCCACTGACAGAACTGATATTTATTGTTCAATGACATTAGATGTTTTCCTTCAGTTTCATGTAAGATTGATTTCCTGAATATTATTGAAATATCTCAGAAACCCTCTGGCTGATAAGAGATTTTGACCAAAATTAATGAAAAGTGGTGACATTTATGTGCTTTTCTATTTATTTTGAAGATTGATGTGGATGATGTTTGGTAGTAATTGTAAATTTAATTTTTATCTACAACTCTCATGTCACGCAAATTACATCAAGAAATAGGACTTGTATCAACATTGTTACACATCTCATGCCACAAGACTTAAGTTTAAATGGTAAAGGTTTTGTTAGAAACCTGAAAGTCATGCTGAGTCGAAATATGAAATGATGCAGTTGCTTTCAATATAGGACTGTGTTCTAGTTTCAGTAAAAGATAAATAGTAGTGTTCTTAATTGCTTGTGCTTACAGCAGGCAGAAGACTCTGCCTTTCTTTAGATAACTGAGTCTCTTTTACAAATGGCATTTGGCTAGTTATTTTTGAGATCTTGGGTATTTTTAGATCAAAACATTTTTAAAATGGACCTCCCGTTCAGGTAAAAGACCATGAGACATCACTTGCTATTAAAATGAATGTTGAACTAGTTGTTGTTGTTACTACTGGCAGTAAGCTGATAACAGTAATTTACAGGTGACTGTGAGCAACAACCGGTTTTGGTTTATCTAGGTTATTGTAAGTTTTCCTTGTAAGTATTGCCCTTAGAGAACCCATAGATTTGCTCCTCTGGTCCTCCTTCAAGGACTAGTATTTCTGGTATTTCATTTATTGTCTTGCAAATATTTAGTCTCTGAGTATCCAAAATATTTCTCAAATGTATCTGAAGACTATGACGTGACTGAGATATCTGAAAGTATTGGCTATCAATAATTTTTGGGTAGGTAGATGTAAGTTATCTGTATATTGGGTAATTTTGTTTTTTGATATATCAAGTAACTTTATAGTTTTGTTAATCATAAATGATTTAACTACTGGTAAACATTGGTGTACGTTTACAACATAATCAATATTATCTTTGGTATTTAATTTATATTGGCTCTTTCCAAAGAGGCCTTCTGCAATGTAAGGTGAAGGTTTATACAAGTTCATTTTCTCTACATTGTTTTGAATGTGAACTGTTATGCTCTAAATATGCAATGTGATGTCAGGATCACTACAAAACATTTCACTTAATTTAAGTACAATGGGATAAGTAAAATTTCTTCAACTAAATGTCCAAGCTTTTAGCTTCAGATAGCAGTATATAAATGTCAAGGTAAAAATCTCTTCTTGTATAACACAGACATTTTGATTTAGAAAGCTATCTGCAGTCAAGATAACCTTTAAACACTGAATGCTTGACTTTCTATGTCTTTGTGTGTCTCTTCCCACCAAAAGTGGAGTAATGCTGTCTAAAACATTTTCCTGAACTAGAATTAAATATAGAAAAAATACATTTTAATACTAAAATAGCAATATTTTACTGTCAGAAATATTTGGCATTAAATAACAATGGCAACTAATCCAAAACTTCTGCAGTTACCTCTGTTATGGGAGGTACTAAGTAATTTAAATTCTCTTTTGCTGCAATTTTTCACTAGACTGTGATAAATACTAATGTATTCTGTTAAATAGCTGCCACATTCCACTCCGTAGCTTGTAGAATGCTTTCAATGACTGAAAGGTAATGTAAGAAATAGGAGATTTTATTTATCCTTTGTGATTTGAAAAGCTGTTCCATTTCCAAATAGCAATAAAATTTGCCTTCCTTTACAAAATAACATGAAAAACTGTCATAAGCACAAATGAGGTATGAATTATGTGTTAGTAGAGGAAACTATATCTCTGTGTCCTAGAATTGTTCTTTCAGGAGTTGGTCCAGCTATATGGGTAGATAAAGTAAAGATTATTATCACTGTTCTTCTGAAGAAGTTCAACTGTTTCTTATAAAACTTTTTTTGGTTAACTTCCCTGCTCAATACACTTGTAGATTTTTGTAAAACTTTGTCTTGCTGAAAAGGGAAGGGAAGTGTGTCTCTAAAAGGAGATTCAACTGCCCAAATACCGGTGTTTAGGTTAATTTTTAGGCATTGAGCAGTGTATCACCAGTTTTCCAGCTGTTTCAGATTACTGCAAGTCTCTTGCCAGTCCTTGCAGTATCTGTGAGAACTTTGCAGATCCTTTGGGTACATTAGCAGTCTCAAATACTAGCAACTGACTGTTTTTAAGCTATTGACTTCTGACCTAAATGTTTCCTTTCTCAGCTTAGTGTTTTGGAGGAATCTGCATTTCAGAGCTGTCATTCTTGGTGTTTTTCTGGTTTGGCTTCTGAGAGTCACACTTAAATGTTGAGCTACAACAGCATGAAGTCAGCTTCATGTTGAAAGAAAACCTTATTCTACAGGATGTTGCAAGGGAAGACCCTTATGTAAAGGGCTGTTTTAGAAATGTGGTTAATTAGATCACAATTTTGCAATAGTTTTCATGAAATTAAACTTTTTGTCCTTATTTATTTTTGCTGGTTGAAGGTTGCAGTCAGCCCCTTTCTTACATGCACATTGTTTAGCAGTTGCACATTATCCTATAATATGTGATAGTAAAGGTGACAAGGAAATGAGCAAGTGTGTCCTGTCTTAGTGCTCTCAGCCAGTCCTTTGTGTATATTTGGGGACATCTTACTCAAGTGTTGTTTCCAGTGTTGTTTCTTCAATGCATTTCATACTTTTACCAATTTACATGATATGTGATACCTATAAGATACAAAAATCTGAACCTCATCTCTGATTTATCTGACTGAATCCCTGAGTTTCTGTATGAAAGGTGAAAAACTTACCCATTCCAGCAAATACCACTGAGGAAAAAATCCTTTCTAAATGAAAAGTATTGTCCCAAACAGACCAAAATCCAATCATAATCTAGTTGCTAGACATGGAGGGTTCAAGTTGCTGAGAAGACATGGCCTTTAGGATATGGATGAGTAGAGAGGTAAGCTGTATGACTGTGATTTATGTATTTCAATTAGTACACACAAACTAGTGACTTAACTAAGTAACTAAAAGCCATCAATTTTCTTCCCATCCTTATTCTCATCCTCCCTGTTCATGGGTGGGAAACAGCAAATTCATTATCTCCTTTCAGTCAAATTTTTTTTTTTGAATGGAGACTTGTAAAAAGACATTACATAGTATTATTTTTGCCTGGGTCAAGATAATAATTTAATGATTTGAGTGTTACCTTGTGGAAATGTAACTCCTGAAACTTCTGACATCATTTTATATGACTTCTTTCATTCTTATGATCTTACTTGTTGGGCCCAACTAAGAAAATGAGAGTGCTCTTGTATCATCACTGTAACAGATTTGTGCTGTCCTAGCAGTACATTCAGTGTGTGAATTGTTCCTTTAAAAGGCACTAGTCACATTTCTAAAACTATTCACCTGTTTTAATGCACTTTTGGTTTTGGGCCTTATCGGATCAATTTGCTTCCATAAATAAGCTTGATTTCACAAGTTTCTGAATATTTTGTCTCCAATCCAGTTATGCATTTATGTGTGTTCTAAGTTAAGTACATGCTAGGTACGAGCATTCTTGGATCTTAGTCAGAATGCTTATGACCTTGTCATATTTAATACTAAGAAAGATACATCTAGGACAGTTGGTCTTATTTTAATTTCTTTGAATCACTTGGACAAATTCAGTTATTACATTTTTGTAAGACTTATTAGTGTAGGAAGAATGACTAAGGAATACCCCTAAGGAGATGGAAATGTTCTCCCAGTTCCATCAATGACATAGCTATGAATTGCTACATTTGTTTGAAACAACTAAGGAAGTGCCTGATCTTGATTCTTTATACACTGTTCATTCATTTTAAATTCCAAGTGGGTAAAACATAGGTAAAAGTCATAATCTACATCTGAATTGTAAATTGATTAATCCATGAAGACAGATGAGAATGTATTAAAAATATTAATTCAAGGCTAGATTATTTTAAAAATCTATTCATACATGTTCTACAAAAAAATAACCCAAAAAAAAACAAAAAAAACCCAACCAAAACAGTTTAGACTGTGTTTTCTGCATTTAAAAAGTCTGTATTCATCTTAAGTACCGCCTCAGATTTCTATTTGTGAAAATTCCTCTATGAGAAAACCATCTTCTCAGAGTTGCAACGATTTTCCATGATATATCTGCCATGTAACTGTTCTAAACATTAAAGCTTTGAATTGGTGACAAATTAGCTTTCATTATCTGCTCTAGTCACATCCTGACAAAATTATTCTGATAGCTGTATC